AGATGATATATGATAGAATGAATGTAAAACTAATGTTCTCCCATGTAAACTATCACATAATTCACAATAAAACATTTAAGAAAAAAAAAAAAAAGAAAGAAAGAAACGAGACAAGAAAAAAAAAAAAGAAAGAAAGTCTTCTGCTTGACATCAGTTGGTCCAATGGACTACTGGATCACATCAACATCTGTCTCCATGACTCTGAGACAAGAAGAACTAGTTGGTGCCTGGATACCACTACCAACTGCTCTGAAAGAGATAACACACTGATAGAGTGGGAGAAAACATGGAACAAAACTCAAAATTACAGAAAAGACTGGCTTGCTGGTAGGAAAGAAATGGGAGAATCCTGAGACTATTGCCCTTGACCATCCTTCAGGTCTGGAATGAAACTCACCCTTGTGACCCAATTTTCAGTTAAGTGGTAGATAGGTATATAGTGGGGGGGGGGGCGGGGGAGGGAAACAGGGACAACAACACTAGTAAGGTATGCTCACCAAAGAAGGGTCAACCATTCATGACCAAAGAGGCAACATTTACCTAAGAACAAAGTTTAGAAGGGTAGGAAGGAGGGTAGAGTGGAAAAAAGAACGACAAGGAGGAAAGGGAATAACTGCTGTTACATGGGAGGGGATTACAATCATTGAGATAAAACAGAGTGTGTGTTTTGTTGAATGTAGAACTAATGATTTGCTCTGTAAACCACTCAATTCTCAATACACAATTCCAAAAAAAGAAAGTCTTCAGTGGGCAGGATGAATTCCAGTTGGGTCTGCAGATTTGGAAGGATTTAAGGCCACATGTGGAAGGATGACTGGATCCCCACAGTGGTGACTCAGATACTGAGGAAAGGGGGTGAATCCTGGAAATGACTGGATAGAAGAATGACATCACTTGGTTCTGGCAAATGAAAGCGGGGAAGTTACAGATGTTTGGAATTTCTAGAGAAGGTGCTTTAGACTTAACAAAATGGGAGCTCCACACTATTTTTTTTTAACCTAAGGTTAAATTCTGTCTCTCTGTGTGTATTTGAAATACATATATAAAAAGAAGCGGGGGGAGGGAGTAGCTGAGGACTCTAGATTCATGGAAAAAGAGGGACTGAGAGCTGGTGGCCAGGAGGCAGACTTGCAGAATGTGCTCTTTGGTGGTGTAAATTATTATATATGCCTGAAAGTTATTAAAAAAAAAAAAAAAAGAAGAGCTAAAATGAATAGAGAGAAATACTGTTAACTGATGGTACATGGAGGGGATATAAGCATTGCAATGAACTGAAGCGTATGATTTGTTGAATGTAGAACTGATGATCTGCCCTGTAAAGTTTCTCTCAATGCACAATAAAAATGTAAAAAAAAAAAAAAAAGCAGGGGGTGGGTGACTTTCAGGACATTAAGAGACCTGCTGTTTGTTCTAACAGCATCCTTGTATAGCGTTTCCTAGGTGGCTCTGAACTGCTGACCTTGTGGACTACTTGCTGTCCAATGGTTATTCTACAGCACCCTAAAGATATGCTAAAAGATGACCACATTCTGCTGCCCCTGTATTCTCTTCTCTAACGCTTCTTGATACACTGGTTTAAGCTCTCTGCATAAGTGGTTTTGGCTCTCTGGGGATTTTTTCACCCCCAATTCAAAGCAGGTTTGGATCTCTTTGGTTTGCAGACACAGTAGGTTCACCCCATTAGACATTGCCTCAAAGGGCGAGGCAGGTGTTCTGAATTTCTCTTGGCAGGGAGTTTATTCAATCAGAACTCTATTACCCCATTTGAGGCAGGTTAAAGGGAATTGTTCTTTTATAGCAAATGAAACAGACAGCTAGCCCAGTTTTGGGACAAAGAATTTTCATAGGAGCTTGCAACATTTCATGTTCCCCTGGTTGATATGACATAAAATTTATCAGAGAAAGGTCCACAAGTTAATAGTCACAATTTGCCATTTTCATCTTTTACCAAGAGATGGGGGTGGGGGGGTTGAGGGGTCATTATTAAATCAATGGTGAATGCAATGCAGTTTTAAGACTTAAAAGGAGAATTTGATCCAGGGTCTCTTGCAACTAGAAAAACTGAGTCAAGACTCAGGTGCTTCTAATGAACTGAGATAAATTACAAAGTAATCTGAAAATGATATCTTGTAGATATTCAAATATTAACATATTTTACAAGTGATGTATACACTTTTTCAGATTAAAAAAATTGAAGCTGGTATGCACTCTGTGATATTCCTTGGCCATTATGCCAAATAAAGTCTTCTACTAAAAATTTAAGTTGTATACATATATGTTGGGAGCCCTGGTGGCATAGTGGGTTATGCATTGGGTTGCTAACCTCAAAGTCAGCAGACAGCCTCGACGTCATGTCCTGAGACGTCGAGGCTGTCTGCTCCCATAAAGACTTATAGTCTTAGAACCCCTTCTTCTTGTTGTTAAGTGCTGTTGAATGGATTCCGACCCATAGCGATCTTGTATAGTGTTTCCTAGAAGCAGCTGATAAGCTTGAATCGCATGCCTTGCAGTTCGAACGATTTGCCATCAGTAGGTGGCAGTAACACATAGGGCTCCTAGGAAACCCTATGGAGCAGTTAGGCTCATAGGGTTGCTATGAGTCAGCACCAACTTGATGACAGTGGTTGGTTTGGGTTCGTAAGCATATAAATTAGTATAGTGTACGTTATTATAATTTATAACACTAAATATAATATACAGAAATTTTTCAATACTCTGTTCTCATTCTAAAGTCCTTCGCTCTGTGTTTGTTTATAGCATGTGCAACTGTTGTTCCAGCTGACTTAGTATTCCTGGTTGAGGAATTTAGCAGCGCTAGTCAATCCAATTTCCAGCAAGTTGTCAACTTCCTAAAGTCCACTGTCAGGTCACTAAGAATCCATCCTGATGCGGTGAGAATTGGCTTGGTCTTTTACAGTGAGGAGCCATACCTTGAGTTCTCGCTGGATACATTTCAGAATCCAACACAAATTTTGAAGCATCTGGAGAAATTAACCTATCGAGACAGGGGAGGAAGAAAGCTCAAGACTGGTGCCGCTTTGAATTTCCTAAGGAACAGGGTTTTCATTCAGGAGAAGGGTAGCCGGTCCAACCAAGGTGTGCAGAAGATAGCTGTGGTCATCATGGACAGCGTCTCGCAGGATAATGTATCCAGACCAGCATCTCTCCTCCGGAGGGCAGGGGTTACGGTCTATGCAGTGGGTACCCAGATTGCTTCAGAGAGCAAGGACCTGGAGAAAATGGTGTCCTATCCTCCTTGGAAGCATGCGATCCCCCTGGAATCTTTCCTGCAACTCTTCATTGTGAGGAACAAAATTAAGAACCAACTCTGCACTGAAATTGTGGGCAAAATGGATTTAGATTTTCGGGAGGGCTACCCCCCACCAAAAGGTAGGAAGGCATTTTCATTTTCCAAACTTGATCTTTTAAAATATTTACTCTGTTTGCTCCATCCAATTCTTTCCTCTATTCTCCTCCAAAGAGAAGATTTTTTAAAAATTTAATTAACTAAAAAACCTTACCTAAAACTTATAAAATCTTTATTTTGTCTTGATTCCAAATAACATAAAAGAATATGACGTAAAAGTGAACATCCCTCTCACCCATCTTAGCCTTGACTACTCTTAATAGTTGGATGAAGACAGTTCACGGTACAAACCTTATGGTACTAAGTAGGGCTTGAGTAAATTTCAAGTCATTTAGGGCAAGAAATGATATTACAAAACATAGAAATTTCCTTGAAATTTATAAATTTTAACTTACAATGTATGCTTATAAGATACATAAATATTGGTTTGTCAATCTCCTGGTATATGATGAAGGCTTCTTTGAGTTCTGAGCTCAAAGCTTCCTTTGGCTACTGCTCGCAGGTATGCGTATTTTCCTCATTAACCATCCAATTGTGTATTATCTAGGACTCCTGGTGTGGCATTGTAAGATCTGCACTGGACGGCAAACCACAAGGTCAGCAGTTCAAACCCACCAGCTGCTCCTAGGACACCCTATGCAGGGTTGCTATGAATCAAGGTCGACTTCACAGCACTTAACAACAACAGTAGCAGTATATTAGTTATAATATCCAGTTTCAGTTTCTTTTATTCCTACGTAACCACTTTTGTAATAATCCGAGTACATAAATCCTTATTGATTTTTGTTGTTTTTAAGTGCCATTGAGTCAGTTCAGACTCATAACGACACTGTATAGGGTTTTCCAAGGAGCGACTTGTGAGTCTGAACCTTCAAACTTGTGGTTCAAACTGACCTTGCAGTCAAGTATTTATCCTACAGCACCACACCAGGATTTTTATAATCCCTCAAATTTATTCGAGTAACCAACAATTTTTTTTTTTTTTAAACAATGGGCCTTTATAGTTTCTATAGATGCAACGATTCTCTTTTTTTTCATACTCATGTCTTATTGATTTGTACAATATATGATTATGTAGTTATAATAACAAAATTAACGTCTACAGGCTGGGGATAAATCTAACTGGATCTTAGTAAGTGCATTTTAGTCAGGATGACACAGAACTAACTGTATGGCATTCAAATGAGGAGCCTCTTAAGGGAAGTAGTTAATCTATTGTGGGAGAAACACTCAGTAGTTCTGACAGAGGGAGAGGAAGAGGGAAACTATCCATCTATCTGGCGAGTCAGTTAAGTAGAGGCTAGCTAGGAGAGCTCCTAGTATAGCAGTTAAAAAACAACAACAAGAAAGCCATAACATAGTTGTTGTTAAGTGCTGTTGAGTCAGGTGCAACTCACAGCGACCCTGTACAGAATTTCCAAAGAGCAGCTGGTGAGCTTGAACCACCAACCTTGCAGTTCAAATCAACTTTGAGGTCGAGTGCTTATCTTCCAGAGCCACACCAAGACTCTGGAATCAACTACCTAATTTTGAATTCTAGATCTGCCACTTACTGACCATTATAAGTACTTTTGTACCTATTTGTCAGCTTTTGTGTATCCATATGAGTTTCTGTGTTGAACTCTAGTATTTTAGATTTAAATTGGAATTCTAGGAAGAGGGTAACAATTTAAAATTTAGATGACTAACTTAAAAATTATATATATATCATTATACCTTGAGCCGAACATCACTGAATTTTTTTTTCCCCTCTTAAACTTTTATCTACCTAGAAATCTCTTGATTACTTATGCTGAAGTTCAGAAATTTGAAATATAGAAATAAATTCCCATTTTTCTCATTGGCCTCATCTTTAGCCCCTTTTTCTGTTTTGTGAGCAAGAGACAGCATTATTATATCTGAATTTCATTTCCTTGTCCACTACCTGCCTATATTCTATAGGCAAGAAGAGAAATGAAGTCCAGTGAATTCATAAACAGTATAGAGTGAAGAGTCGGCTCCTTTTCCAGATTACATAGCTGTTAGGAAGGAACTTGGAATCAGGAAATCCATTCCAAGATGTACAGGGATTAGGGGTGGGGCAGTTTTGAGGTAAATAGAAGCTATGACAGTTTTATATCTGGATCATCTGGATGGTCATAATGATCATAATCTCTACCACTTATTGGTCATTTGGTGGCCGTTTGCCTGTGTCCAATACTCTGCTAAACACTTCATGTATGTAATAAATGGAGATGCTGGGAGGCATCCAGACTCTAAGAAATTTCCCTCCCTTGGACTCCCCTTTGTCAAGAGTGGTGAGAATGCACAGTGCCAGGCAGGGGTCAGGCCCTCAGCCCCTCTTGTTGTTGTTGCTTTTAGGTGCCATCGAGTCGGTACCGACTCATAGCAACCTTATGCACAGCAGAATGAAACACTGCCCGATCTTGGGCCAACCTCACTGTTGTTGCCACACTTGAGTCCATTGATGCTGCCAATTGGCCAATCCATCTTGTTGGGGGTCTTCCTCATTTTCTCTCCCTCCACCCTACCAAACATGATATCCTTCTCTAGCGACTGGTACCTCTTGACAATATGTCCGAAATATGAGAGATGAACTTTGGCCATCCTGGCCTCCAAGGAGCACTCTGGCTGCACTTCTTCCAACAGAGATCTGTTGGTTCTTTTGGCAGCCCCTCTAGGCAGTACAAAAGTCCTGGACTATAGTGGAAACTTTGGTTCACTGTTCCATTGGGCTGGCTACAGAGGTACCTGTCCCCCAACAGTGACCCTGGCCTTAGATCTTTCCCCCCCAGTGATCCTACCCTTCGACCTCTCCTGACAGTAGACCCATCTACTTCCCAGGCCCTATCACCTGTGGGAGCTGGGTTCCAGCAAGTCTAACTTTCTGCCTTCTGTATATATGGTTTGTTTTCCCCAGTATCCAAGGATTCAAAAACACTTCACGGTAGCTTCTCCCGGGAACTTTCCAAGTCAGATCCTCTTCCAATGCCCACCCCTCTAGAGCAGGACTTACAGATAAAATATAGGATACCAGTTATATTAGAATTTCTTTCAGACTAACAATAGACACATTTTTTGATCCAGGTAAGTCCTAAATATTGCATTGATGTTGTTGTTGTTGTTAAGTGCCATCGAGTCAATTCCGACCCATAGTGATCCGTATAGGGTTTTCAAGGAGTAGCTGGTGAGCTTGAACTGCCAACCTTGAAGTTCAAACAGCTTTACAGTCTACTGCATTAACCCACAGCGCCAAGTAGGGTTTCCCAAATAAAGGAGGCCAACTCCTACCTCAGATCACTTATTTTCACTCAAGAAACATGAAAAGATCAAGGGAACCCAGGGACTGAGAACACAAGACTGAACTGCTCTTACTGAGAAAGGCAAGGAGAAAACAGTATTTGTTTTTTGTGAGGGAACTGTTACATGACAGAAACAACACATTGGTTAATCATAACCTTAAATCTTGAATACTCAGCCCTGATGTGTATATATGATCTTTACAATAAGCATATTGAGTATGTTTTAAGGTCTTTGTTTGACAGATTAGAAAACTGAGATGCAAAGAGGCCAAGTCACGGGCCTCAGGTCTTGAAGCTAGAAAGTGAGACAGGACCTAAAACTTAGAGTCATTTTGCCCTCTGGAATCCATACCTTACTACAAGTAAGTAAGTCTCTTTTTAAAACAGTACATTTCAAATTCCAGAAAGTGTACTCTGTTGCCCACCTATTTAAAAAGTGCAGGTTACCTTGAGAGACAGGAATGATGTATCCTGGGACAATTCATAGCTTCAAATACGCTTGGGTTTTTATCTTCAGCTTGTTTTCAATGTCTTCATTAGAGAAATGTTAAGTATATTTGTTTCATATCTTGAGTGGGGTTCACCAGAAACAGATTCTGAAACAAAGATTTGGGTGCAAATTTATTTATATATTTATAATTGGATGTGAATTTATTTGTATATATTATTTATGATTTATTTGGGAGGTGACCCCTGATAGGAAAGGAAAGGAAGTCAGTATAGGATGAATTAACGAGCAACTATTGCTGTATGCCACTGGAGCTCCTACCTGTTGGGGGCCTTAGGGAGACTGTGTAGAACTCACCTCAGAGTTGTGCCACCCAAAGACCATGGGAGCTGGGAAATGTATCCACCAACCCCTCAGTCATTGGTGGCTGCTCCCAGACTGATTGCCAAGCATTCTGGCCTGCACAGTGTGGGGACAGATCATGCTCTTGACCAAAGTCCTCTCAGGCACAGTTACAAGGGCTCTCAGTAGAAAGCTGATGGCTTTCAAGGGAACAACCAGTGCAAAAAACATTGGTGAGGACTGGTATCAATAGCTTTGACCATATTCCATCTCAGATTCTGTTTTAATGCAGTGGATTGTTGATTCTTCTTATTGCCTAGGTTGTACACATATTGAGAAGGCAGATATTTACTTCCTTATTGATGGTTCTGGCAGTATCATACAAGAAGATTTTCTTGAAATGAAGGTGTTCATGAATAAGGTGATAAAGATGTTCCAGGTCGGGCCTGACAAAGTACAGTTTGGAGTCGTTCAGTACTCATACAAAACTCAGAGTCAGTTTATTCTCAGCCAGTATTCCAGTGTAGCAGGGCTGAAGGTAGCCATTGATGCCATCCGACAGTTAGGAGGTGGAACCAACACAGGTCAGGCTTTGAATGATATGAAGCAGATCATTGTAGACACTGCCCGCAGCAACGTACCTCAACATCTCATTGTCATCACTGATGGGGAATCCGATGACCCGGTGGCTGAGGCTGCAGAAGCCTTGAGGCAAGCTGACATCATCATCTACGCAATTGGAGTACGAGACGCCAACACTGATGAACTAAGAAAAATCGCTACAGACAAGATTTTCTTTGTTAATGAATTTGACTCCTTGAATGCCATTCAACAAGAAGTGGTACAGGACATCTGCTCCTCAGAGAGTAAGATTCTTTTATTTATTTATTTTTTTCTTATTAGTGGTAAATATATAGGTAGCAAAACATTTGCCTTTTCTACAATTTAAAAACGTACAATTTAATGACATTAAATATGTTGATCATGTTCCACCATCACCATTAACCATTCCCAAGTTTTTTCCAGCACTCTTAACCGAAAGTGCTGCATCTTCCTTATTTTCCTTATTTTCTCACTCCCACCTGCCTTCCCCTAATAATCACTAATAAACTTGAAGGACTTTTTTTCTTCAACAACTCCCTTTCTCTGTTTTGCTATTTCTCATTTAATACACATGTCTAATCTATTTGAATAGGCTTCAGACTTGAAATACAAATATAACGGTCAGCAAGTGACACGCTCAAAGTGACCATGACCTAGAATGAACCAAGCCGGTCAAATTTTATATCCTTGTCATACAGCTGTGTCTTATTTTCCGATGGATTTCTGTAGAAATTTTACTTAACTAATTTCCTTATCTGCCCCTTTAAAAAATATTTTTATTTTTCACAAAACACTATGATACTTTGTGCATGTATGTATGTTCTTTTATTTATTTTATAAATAGCTTTATAAAAATAGTTTTCAATTATAAATGTCAAATGTTCTCAATAAGGGACTGAAGCACAAATTCCTAATCTCATTTTGTCTGTGTTTGTATAAAGCATGCATTCGACAATTTTTTTTAAATTAATGTGTATACGCCACTCCAGTCTGTTTCTGGGACTTGAAATTATTTGGATCCAGACTCTGAATGAATGTTCTGTTTTGTTCCTTTTTTTAAAATTCCCAGTCTGTAAGGATAAGAAAGCTGATATTATGTTCCTGATAGATGGTTCAGAAAGCATCTCACCAAATGACTTTGAAAAGATGAAGAGATTCATGGAGAGAATGGTGAACATATCTAATATTGGTTCTGATGAAGTTCAGATTGGCCTTTTGCAGTTCAGCACAGATCCGCGGGAAGAATTCATGCTCAACCAATACTCTTCAAAGGTGGACATTCTCAGAGCAATAAGTGATGTTCAGCAAATAAATGATGGCACCCACACTGGGAAAGCCCTGAATTTCGCCCTGCCTTTTTTTGACAGTTCAAGAGGAGGAAGACCCAGTGTTCATCAGTATTTGATTGTGATCACTGATGGGGTTGCAAAGGATGATGTAGCAATACCAGCCAAGGCCCTCAGGGACAGAAACATCATTATTTTTGCCATTGGGGTGGGAGAAGCCAAAACATCTCAACTTTTGGAGATTACTAATGACCAGAGCAAAGTGTACTATGGAGAAAACTTTGCGTCCCTTCAGAACCTGGAGAAGGACATACTTTATCAGGTCTGCACCCCACAAGGTGAGTGATAGAGGGCTTGCCTTTTGATCCATATGCTCAGTGTTGGAGCTGGGTACCCTGTTGGCTCCATTCATAGAACAAATTCTGATCCTTTTTATTGGGCAAGGAAGGAAAGATCATTTTGTGGGGAGGACCATGGGACTGAACTGACCCTGTGATTCACCTCTCCTCTGGTGGTCCTTTGAGTCCTCCCTGTGGCTTTCACCACTCTGGTCTCCAGACAGACCTGCCCCTTCCCAGAATCATGTCTCTAGACAGTCTTCATGAGTCTTCCCTTTATTCCTTGTAGCATAGATGAAGCCAGGTTGGAATGTGGAAACATAGCTTTACTGAAGGTTTGGGCATATCCGAAGAGAAATAGAAGCAGGGAACTTATGGACTAGAACTCATAACTTCTTCTACGAGGCTCAGTGCAGGGTACTCCCTACTTTGGTGCCAGTCTGCTTCCCTATGGCCACGGTCATGCTCAATCCTGTTTTGTCTCCTCTAGATTTTATCTCCAAACAGTGAGCTTCAGAGACAGGGTTCCATCTCTAGACAGTCTGGGTTTGCTCTTTTGAGTTTACCTTTCTTTTCAAAGACTTGCCTTTCAGGGTGATTGCCCTAGAAAATGTCTTCATGGAAGACTGAACCTCCTATCCATGGGAGAGTATAATTAGAAAATAAAACTTGTTGTTGTTGGAATTTCCTGTATAGAATTTCCAAGTCTGTAAATCTTTATGGGCGCAGAAAGCCTCGTCTTTACCCCATGGAGCCATTGGTGGATTAAAACTGCTGGCCTGGCCGCTGCTTAATGGTTAGATGCTCAATGTAGAACTCACCATACCACCAGGGGTCCTTAGATAACTTTGTTGTTGTTGTTAACTGCCATTGAGTTGGTTCCGATTCATAGTTATCCTGCATAGAGTTTCCAAGGAGTTGCTGGTGGGTTTGAACCACTGACTTTGTGGTTCACAGTCCAGTGCTGAACCTACAGTGCCACACCAGGAGTTAGATGGTGCTTGTTTGTGCCAGGGACTGTTCTGATGGCTTTCTGTATATCAACACACTTAAGTCTCTTAGTAATCCTATGAAATAAGTACAATTTTATAGATGAGGAAATCAAGGCACAGTAAGACTAGAAATAAATGAGTGTTGAGATTTGAACTTGAGTCTGCGTACTAAATACTGTACTGCCTCCTGGCATAGTATAGAGGTGCATGGTAGGGCCTCTCTAATTGTAACATGCATTTGAATACAGATTCTCATTCAGAAGGTTTGAATGGTCCTTTCTTCTATGTTCTTGCTTAAGTTGGTGCCTCTTCAGGGCACTGCAACTTTCAACCCACTGCTGGGAGGAAGAACATGGACTTGTGACGTAGCACTTTCCCATCCTTTATGTTACCCGATTCCTCATAATAAATCTGAGAAATATGCACTTTTGTTACTTAAATTATCTTGTCAGTTAGTATGCTTTTGCCTACAAGTAACGGAAAAATCTAAGCAAAATAGATTGGAACACTAAATTAGGCAGGGCAGGCTCTAGGTGGGACACAATCGAGATTCCTACTCATTTTCTCATGGTGTACGTAGCACTGCTCCTAATGCAATGGATGGTAAACACTCATCTAATAGTCACATGAATCCCATGTTAAGTGGATGCTCATATTTTGATATTCAATTTCCAATGAGAAAAGCAAGGTAGAGAAAGGTTAAGAAAGTCAGTACTGAATGAATAGTTTGAACTCCCTCTACAGTAGTTTGGAGTCAAAGCCTGAGCGTAATCGTTATGTTGTAGATCCTCTTTATGAGAAGCCGGGTCCCACTTGTGGCCAGGCATTATTTTAAGAATGAGATCCCTGCATTCCATCAGAACTTAACATTCAGATGTTCTAGAGCGTTAAATTAATATTTCTGATTACATTGTCTGAAGACTATCATTGCTTTGCAGTGACCTGTGTGGGTTTGGAATCACTTGAAAAGAATGCATGTGTATGATTATTTCTTAAATAAGCACTAGCTGTGGAATATCTTACATTATGCAGTCTACATTATTCAGGCAGCAAAAGCTATTTATGTTTTCTTGTTTCTTTATATGCAGCTAGGCATTTTCCTAGCAAGCTCATCAGCTGCTCCTTGGAAACCCTGTACATGGCCACTATGGGTCAGCACAGTTTCATGGCACTCAACAATAACAACAAGGCATTTTCCAGGGGAGGAGAAGAGGAAGGGTATTCCAGGTTCTCGTTTCGGTTCTTTTTGTACCCTGTAGTAAATTAGGATTTATGTTTATCTTCAGTGGTGTTTTTAACTTTGTAGGTCCAATTAGCTAGACACTCTAAGAATGGCTGGAACTTAATTAATTCTAGAAGTCTAGATTCATAAAGTTGAAAAAGACCTTAAAGATTATCTGGCAAATTTCAACCCTGCCCATTAACAAGGAAAAGAATGCTCCTTGACAATAACAAAGTGATAATTACAGAAGAAAGCCAGTTGAAAATACTCATGAAGAAAGTGTAAATTAGAATGATCAAAACAATATGCCATACTGCAAAAAGGAGATTTCTCCTTTCTGAACTTGTATCTAATATATGGGCTATATAGGACTTATGTCTGTAAAAGCTTCTTTTTGGTGAATTTGAATTTGAGGTTTAAAACACAACCAAGTAATTCTATATGAATGGAGGGGGAAAGCATACTCTGACTTGACAAGTCCAGATATGTATCTGGCCAGCCCTGGATCTCAAATCCTTAAGAACGTTTAGGTCTCTAAGAACTTTTTCATGGTGAAGCATTCAGTACGTTATTTGTTTTCTTTAAAATTGCTAATTGCAATTTTGGGATTACTGATGCCAAGCTAAATATTACAATGTGTGATGAACTAGAAAGAAGTGGTTACATGTCTTGGTTTGTCTTGGGCAGTGCCAGAAGTAAGGAGTATTTGCACTTTCTTTTATGGTTGGTAAAGTCCATGGGTGACACAAACGGTCATGCTCTCAGCTACAAACCAAAACCTTGGAGGTTCAAATCCACCCAGAAGTGTCATGAAAGAAAGACTTGGAGCACAATTCTACTCTGAAATATGTGGTAACCCTGAGTCACAATCAACTCAATTTTTCTTTTTTTATGCTTGATGTTAAACTTTCAGTCATAAAATTTACCCAGTTTCAAACTGAGATGTATTTGTGTCCATCAACTTTTGCACCCTCAGTAGAATTTTGTGAATGGGATTCTTATTTATCTATAAATGTATGGGTAAGATCTGAAAGATCAATGGGTCTTCAAATTCTAGATACACCTTTTCAAAGGAGGGCTCAAAAAACTTCAGGCAGGGCAGTAGAAATTCAGGGGGGTGACTGTCAGTTGTGGAATTTTCTTATCTGCTTCTCCACCCCTGAAACAAAGTATATGCCTGGGTAGTGAATGAGGAAGAAAACTTCCAGGAGAAAAGGAACCAGTATATCTAGTACTGAAAGGGACTCAAGACGAATTTATTTACTCATACTCATTCATTTAAAAACATTTAATGAACACTTACTTTATTTCAGGATCTGTAGAGGCACAAGGTATGAAACATTATATATTATACTAGTTAGTTTCTGTTATAAAACAAACCATTTCAAAGCTTAAACATCAATCATTATTTAGCTCATACTTTTAGTGAAGTTGTGGGTTAACAGGGTTTCTTCTGGTGGGGTCAGCTTGGCAAGTCTCTTTTTAACTAAGCCATGCGTCTGTGGATAACTAACTTGATTTTCTCCTTCTGCACCTTCAAAGAATGCAACCTGGAGTTGTCTGTAAGCATTGATATCTCAACTTCCAAAAGACAAGTTCAGCAGAAGCTTCAAGAATTACTGCCAGAACTGATGCAACAGTTGGCTTTTCTTTCCAACATCAGCTGTGGTAGTGTTCCTGGTCAGATCAACACGAAGTTCCGCTACTTGGTGCCTGACCCAAATGGGCAGATTATCTTTGACTCATCCTTTGTGAATTCTAATGATGGGATCACCCAGATGTTGTTGGCTGCCAAGAATAGCCATATGGATGTGAATTTTTTGCAGTCACTGGGAGACGTTATTCACCTGACTTCTGCTAAAGTGAAGGTAATAAATTATGAGAAGCCAGGGTAAGAGTTATCTTGCAGGGTAGGAAGGATAAAGCTTTTGTGACAAACTGTTCTTTATTGGACACCCTTCATAGAGGAAAACCATAGTATGACCCAATAAGAACCAACAACAGGTATGCTTTCATCCCATCAACAGATATTTATTTAGCCCTAGAGCCTCTGTGCTGATTGATGCCAATAGGGGAGAAGAAGATAAAAATCCCTCCCATCAATTTGCCCACAGTTTGGTGATCCAGATTCTCTCATGCCAAAAATTCATCCCAAAGACAATTTGGGAGATATTTGAAGACTTTCTTGCTCCTTTCAGTCAGTACTTTGCATTAACTTTATGTTGTGCATAGGGCCGCTATGAGTTGGTACCGACTCAATGGCACCTAACAACAACAGTTAAGAATACATCTCTCATTACCTCTTTCCTCCCTACCCTTCCTGAATTTTATACCCACAAAATTTCACAGAGATGAAAAGGTCTCATGTGATATTTTATTTGTTGGGAAGTGGCACCCACAAACTTTGGCAGTTACATTAATTTTTTCATCCAAAGAATATTATTTCTGGACTAATATTGTTGTTGTTGTTAGGTGCCATCAAGTTGGTACTGACCCATAGCGACCTTATGCACAGCAGAACTAAACACTGCCCGATCCTGGGCCAACCTCACTACTGTTGCCAAGCTTGAGTACATCAATGCTGCCACCTGGCCAATCCATCTTGTTGGGGGTCTTCCTCTCTTTCTCTGGACTAATATAGCTTACTTTTAAAATGAAAACTTTCTGTGAGCAAAAGTAACATATTTTTATATAGACAAAAGTTAAAAATATGTAACAGAATATAGCCATAACACCCCCATATCTTTATGTTTCTTCACATACATGTACTCATGTACAGACACATACATATATACCCCTGTTAACATTTGGATGCTTTTGCTTTGAAACAGATGGGTGTGGCAAGACAATTTTTTTTTCCACCCCTGGGGCCTTACACCAAAGTTTAATCAAGCTCTAAGTTAATAAAAGTTCAGTATTTTAAGAGTCTTTCCTCACCCTTGTGTATGAACTAAAACTTCAGAGCTAGTTTTTTTTTCTTTTTAATGTAAGATTAGCTATCATGCAAAATTTACTGGTCAAGCAGTTAATAAAATACATGAATCCCATGGAAGGGTGTTTGCATGTTTCAGTCTTGCAAATAACAAAGCAACTATCTACCCAGGTGGGTCCTGTTAAAAGTCTGTGGCTCCTTCAAGCGGTGGCCCTGGCTTTCTGGTGGGGACTCTGTGTTTAAAAGTCTTGAAGCTCTTTTAGCTGTACTTTGGGCATCAGGCAGGTCTTCTTCCTCTTCCTCAGTTCACTTGTGTTTTAAAAATAAGTCAGACTTTTAAGAAGTGGCTGAAGCTGTCGTACTTCCTAAATTCTGGTCTGGAGTTTCTGGAACATCAGCGGGTACGGTTCTTCCAGAATCTTCTCATTGAGCTGGGACTGGCCCTCCACATTGACTTAGGATGAGGCTTTATTGCACAGGAAGGTCATATAGATCTCCCTGACCTTTTCCTGCATCTGTTTTTTTATCTTGTATTGTCTTAAAATCTTCACATGCTAGCCCAAACAAAACATTTTCTTCACTGAATTCCATTTTTAAAAACTCCCTAAATCTCTTCACGCCTTCTGGGTCTTCAAGCAGATTCTCCAGGGATGCTGCCCACTTGGTCTGCTTTTGAGGTTCTGGTAGCTGCTACTGGAGCTCCCATGCCCATGTCATGAATGTCTAACGGCAGCCTCTTCCTGTTCAGCTGGCTCACGGCGCGGTTCAACATCGCCGCGGTTCAACATCGCCGCGGGTGGCTGGGTGGCAAGACAATTTTTGTAAGGTGAACAGATGAAGCTGGTTCAAATATTTGTGTGTGTGTGAGACGAGGTTTCGAAGTAAAAGTGACTAGTTAATAAAATAAAAAATAAATGTACAGATGTAAAGGGCACAGGGTGAAATGTTAGGTATGATACACCAGAAAAGCTCACCCTTGCAGTTTTTAAAAAATGTACAACTATATAGCCTCTTTCTCGGTTTTCTCTCACTCCTTCTTCTCATAAACAACAGGTCCTTTTAGTATTTACAGATGGACTGGACGATGATTTAGAGAGACTAAAGGAAAAATCCCAGGTCATCCGCACCTCGGGTAAGTGCACTTGGTTCCTCCGGGGTGGCTGGGGTAAAGGGTTGGGAGGGATGGCACTGAGCTCTCTGAAGTGCCCTGTATGCAAACCCAGGTGGCTGGAGCTCAGTGCCCAGGAGACTGATGTGGACTTTTCCTGTTTTGATGAGAGACTCTTCCCCTATCCAGGACACTCACCAAGGTCTCTGACTGAGACAGGACTGGCTTTTTACCAGCTGGGCATCTGCACTAAGTGTCTTCATGAGGAATAGTGCTTCTTGCTTTCTTAAAACTGTCTAGGAGTCTTGGTGTGACACTGTAGAATCAGCACGGGACTGAGAACTACAAGTTTGGCAGTTCAAACCGACCAGCTGCTCTTGGAAACCCTATACAGGGTCACTATGAGTAGAAACTGATTCAAGGGACACTTAACAACAACAGCAAAAAGAGTCCATAGGGAGTCCTGGTGTGGTGCTGTAGGGTAAGCGGTCAATCAAAAGGGTGGTTTGAACTACAAGGTCAGTGGTTCAAACTCACCAGCTGCTCCTTGGAAACCCTATACAGGGTCACTATGAGTCAGAACCTACTCAATGGCACTTAACAACAACAACAGGAGTCCATAGGGGTGGTAGAAGTTGTGCCTGCAAATGGTTAATAGGTTTGGCTGCTGACTGAAAGGTTGAAGATTCAGGTCTACCTAGAGGAACCTTAGAAGAAGGGATTGGCAATCTACTTCTGAAAAAGCAGCAGTTAAATACCCTGTGGATCACAGTTCTAGCCTGACACACAGGGAGCCAGCGTGACAGCAACTGGCTGAGGGGTGTATACACCTCTTTTTCCTAACCTCTAGAGTCAACCTGAAGTTGGGCCTTCCTCTTTCCACTGTCTATTCCTCCCGTTTGCTCCTTACTTCTTCCCTTTCCCTCTTCAAGGGCTGTTGATACGACACTTGGTGAAAACTAGAAAAAGATGGTCAATCTTCTAGGCACATGACTTGGGAATTGGCAAGCTGGCTGGATTTCACCTTACACCAGCACCTTCAGCTGAGTGTCCTGGTGTAGTATAGCCAATACAACTGTACCTGGCACTCTGGCCATTCCCATTGTGTGCCACATACAGGATATAAAGCAAACGGGATGAACCATCAGCAACTTGACTTATTTCAGTTCCTTACCTTTCTTCCTCCTCAGTGGATTATATTCAACATATTTTTCTGTGGATGAAAATTTTCCACTTGGTTGATGATGGTCTGGAATATGAGGGGGCTTCAAAAAGTCTATGGAAAAATTGAATAGAAAGATCATAAAATTTTTCCACCAATAATTTGAATGCCCCTCATGCACATATTTTTATGACAACTTGATCCCAACTTAATTACTGAATAGATTATCACTCAAAATTTAAATTATAATTTTTTCAGAAGAGGATTGGGAATATGAGACAAAAGACTATCAACTTTGCTTATGTGCAAGTTCTGCAATTTCAATTCCAGGAATTTATTTTTAAGAAATGATTAAGAAGATGTAACCACAAGAGTATTAAGTGGCTTGTTTATAACAGCAAAAAGCTGATGTGTGTATGTGTTGAGAACTTATTAGTCATAATATTAATAAGAAATAGTAGCATTTGTTCTGAATTTCTAAAGAGAGATTTCAGATGTATCTTGTCCCTTTGTTTTTTATTATTGGGTCAAACTGGAAGATCCTTTAGTGCTTGTTATAAAAAAATACAGGTTAAGGGAACAAATCTTTACAACAAGGATCATTCACAACCCCGCCATACACAGAGTAGACAGGGATGGGCAACTTGGACATTGGCTACCCAAAATGGGGGGGCTACAAAGGCAAGAAGTGACTGGCTTACAAGCTTTCAAGAGGGAACCTAGATCCAGAGGGCGTGGAGAAAGGTAGAATCTCCACTGAGTAGTATCCAATCTGTCCAGGCGGGGTTGATGCAAGGAAATACGGATAGGTCTCTTGTGATACAATAGTAAATAATTGTTATCATGACTGATTGTGAGGGTTGAAAATGTAAAGGTAGACGTTTTGTAGCAAGGAGGGGCATGAATAACTTTGCAGTCTAGGAGTGGAGGTCCCTGGGACCATCAAGGGAGAAGAGCGGAGAGCGGGACCCAACTCAGAGAAACAGTGACGCCAGAGATGGAGGCAGAGATGATGACGTGGAGAGATGGAGTGACTGGGGACTTTAGACACAGAGAGGGAGAGGGGCTGTGTGCTGATGACCTGGGGGCCAGGCTTGCAGGGAATACCTTTTGGCTGGTTGATGATACATGGAAGGGATTGTAATCATGGCAATGAAATGATATACGATATGGTGAATGTAAAACTAATGTTCTCCCATGTAAATGAACACATAATTCACAATAAAACATTAAAAAAAAAGAATGCCAAAACTGACATTTTGAGGTAGTAGAAATCAAAGATGCAGAATCCTTTGGAGACACGGAAACACCGTGTCTTAGCATTTTATAGACCTAGATGGAGGATGAACCTGGGTAGTGCTATAGGATAGGCACTGGATTGCTAACTACAAGGTCAGCAATTTAAATCCACCAGCCATTCCTCAGGAGAAAGAAGCAGCTTTCTGCAACCATAAGGAATGGCAGTCTCAGACACCTGCTACAAAGTTACTCTGAGTAGGAGTTGACTTGATGGCAGTGGGTGTGTGGCCATCAGATAGAAATAATTGCTTCACATTTTTTAAACATTGGTTTTAATTAAAGTTTCTATGATTTTGCAACAACAACAAAAAATACAGGTTAAGTTTTGCTGCAGTAACAACCAACCTCCAAATCTCAGTGGCTCCCTGTAAAAATGCACGCTTCATCCCTATCAGTCAGGGACCCAGGCTACAGGAAGGTCAATTTCCACAGATGCTTTTTCAATGGCTGTAGTGGTGGTGATTATATGCTATTGAGTTGGTTATGACTCATAGAGATACTGTATAGGGTTTCTGAAGCTGTGAATCTTTATGGGAACAGAAAGTCTCATCTTCCTCCTGCAGACCAGCTGGTAGTTTCAAACTGCTTGCCCTGAAGTTAGCAACCCGACTTGTAACCACTACGCTACCAGAGCTCCTTAAAAATATAGTTGTTGTTGTTGTTAAGTGCTGTTGAGTCGGTTCTGAACCAATAGCAACCCTGTATAGGGTTTCCGAGGAGCAGCTGGTAAGCTTGAACTGCCAACCTTGCAGAACAAATGGCTTTGCAGTCTGGCGCATTAACCCACAGTGCCACAATAATATAACGGTGGTGGTGGTAGTTATGTGCCGTGGAGTCGGAACCCACTCATAGCGACCCTGTACAGGGTTTCTGAGGCTGTAAATCTTTACCGAAGCAGAAAGCCTCATCTTTCTCCCACGGAACAGCTGGTAGTTTCAAACTGCTGACCTTAAGGTTTGCAGCACAATTCGTAACCACTAAGCTACCAGAGCTCCTTACAATAATATAGTAGGGGAAAGGAAAGAGGATAAATTGAGTAGTTGCTTTTGAAGTTTCTCCCAAGGAGTGGCATATATGACTTCAGCTCACGTTTCATTGGCCAGAACAAGTGATATGGCTGCTTCTAACTTTCATCAGGTAGCTATTCTTTTACAGGTAAGCAGTTGAGGCTCAGCAAAAGAATATATAATTTCCCCAAAGAATTTCAACCCTATAATGTGGTTTTAAGGCAAGGACTGTATTAGCTAGTAGCCTCAGTGACTATCACAATAGTCAACTTCAGGAATACATTAAGGAGGAGTCTCTGGGTGGTGCAACCAGTGGATGCATCTTGAAAGAAAGGCTTTCTGATCTACTTCTGAAAAATCAGCGATTGAAAACTCTAAGGAGCACAGTTCTTCTCTGATACACATGGAGTCTCCATAAGTCAGCATTGGCTCAACAACAACTGGTGGGAGTAGCTTAATACATTAAGGTCTAAAAATACTCTGCAAAATAAAATAAAATTTAAAATGTTCAAGAGACTATAAAAGAGTTAGGAGAGTCCTTTTTGGTTCTACTTAATTGTTTAACTTGCAGCTGGCAATTTTCAAAGTATCAGACCAATTCTAAGAGCATGCATGCCATGATTTGGTTTTGATTTTAATGAAAATGCAGTTCTGACACCAGACAAGTAAAGGATATGAAATGATGGGATTGTTGTTGTTAAATGCCATCGAGTTGGTTCTGACTCAGAGTGACCCTGTGTAGGGTTTCCAAGGAGTGGCTGGTAAGCTTGAACCGCCAACCTTGAGGTTCAAACTGACTTTGCAGTCAGCACATTAACTGATAGTTGATGATTATCTGGGACTAAGACAAAGATGGAGCATTCCAAAGACACACTAGAAAGCCACTACCTGTTGATATTTTGAAGGGCTCTCTGGACTCCTAATGGTTGGTCTGGAAGGTGTGCAGAAATTAGAAGAACTCCAAGAGCTGGAATTTGGCAGAGGATTTGCATATAAACAACCTCTGAGTATCACACTAAGATCTCTCCCAAGCCACTTACTGCAGCAACTTGTAAGTATGGTTTTTAGTACTGGCCTATTAATTATGTTGTTGTTGTTGTTGTTATGTGCCATGGAGTTGGTTCCGACTCATAGCGACCCTGTACAGGGTTTCCGAGGCTGTAAATCATTACTGGAGCCGAAAGCCTCATCTTTCTCCCATGGAATAGCTGGTAGTTTCGAACTGCTGACCGTGAGGTTCGCAGCCCGATTCGTAACCACTACGCTACCAGAGCTCCTTAATTATAGTAATTTAAAAAACCTGGACTGGATCTCATTCTTTCTCTTTTGTGTATCATGTGATTTAGGCTAACCCAGATGAAAAAAAAATGATATGTGATACGGATTCTGTTTTTCAGGACACAATTGTAGAGAGAACATGCTGCAATATGCCTGGCCAATGCTTTGGAGAAGAAGGGGACATGGGCCATGATGGGGATCCTGGGAGCAAGGTAGGAATTTGTTGGATGGAAATGTAGAGAAGGAGGTACCCATTTCATATCCAGCCCTGTGTTAAATATTTAACAAACTTTTTCTAATTTTAAAGGAGCCCTGGTAGTACAGTGGTTAAACACTCAGCTGCTAACTGAAAAGTCAGTGTTTCAGACTCACTAGTGATCTGAATGAAGTTGTCAAGGACTTCATTCTTCTTGGGTCAACTATCAACACTCATGGAAGCAGCAGTCAAAAAATCAGATGACGTATTCCATTAGGTAAATCTGCT